GCTGATTTAGCCCAAGCAGGTGCTTCAAACAGCTGAGCTAACCCACAAGCCCAAAACAAGAATTCTTGAAGGAGAGAAAATGATCTAGGAATATGTTTAAGGAAATGACTAAAAATTTCCAAAGTCTGGTTAAAGATGACAAATGCAGGTCTAGATGTTCAAAGATTACCAGTCAAAGTCAACCCAAAGAGGAGCTCATGAAGACATAGCATCATCAATTTTGCAAAAATCTAGAACAAAGATACAAAGCATTATATTTAAGAGAGGCCTAATACGGCTTTCATGTCTCTCAGCAGAAAATTAGCAGGTTAGGAGAGGATGAGATAATACATTCAAAGTGTTGATGGAATAAAGTACCAGCTAAGGATGCTTTATGTAAAAAGATGGTTCATCACCAGTAGGTCTGGGTTGTAAGAATTGCTAAAGGGAATTCTTTAAACTGGAATAAAAAACTAAGAGAATATACATATTCATTAACATATAGTCATATATATATGAAAAGTAAAAATTCAGCAGTATAAATAAAACATAGTCATGCTCAGAATTTTCAGGAAAAAAATATATATGTGTTATGGTTTGTGTCTAGTTGTCCCCCCAAAGCCTCATGCAGTCATAGGGTGAGGACTTGTAGAGTTTGTGTTAACTCATGATCCACTGGGATTATGTGTGATCCAAGGCTGGGATTATGGGTTTTAGTACTGCTGGGATTACCCATAGGTGGGTAAATACTGGGAAGTACCCATAGGTATGAGTACTTCCCCTATCCTGGGGCAGGTAATTTGCATTACAATGTAAGGTGGGAAGAGAAGCTAGCTGCTTGAGCTGCTGCTCCCCTCCCTTGCCCTCTTGCTCTTTGCCGCCACCATGAAAGGTTGCCCTCTGCTATGTGCTGCTCTGCCTTGGACTCAGCTGAGTATGGACTGAAACCTCCAGTAACTGTGAGCTAAATAAACCTTTCCTTCCTTCATTTTGAGTGTCGGGTATTTGTCCCAGCAATGAGAGAAGGGTAACTAAGACAATATGTATATAATGTATTTAGTACAGGTTCTATAGGGTCTCACTACACAGATTGGACTTGTAGTGATCCTTCCTGTTCTTCAGTCTCCCAAGCGCTGGGATTACAGGTACGGGTCACCACATCCAGTCTCATTTGCTGACTCAGCGTGCCCCAGCGGCAGGACCAGCATGGCAGGCCAGAGGCATCCAACGCCCTGCCCCTGTATCTGCCTAAGCAGGCACTTTAATCTGCTGAGCTATCTGCCCAGCCCTTAGAACTATAAAAGTGGTGTTCCATTTTAACCTTTCTATGAGTAAAAAGAGAAAACTATTAAACACCACTATCTTCCTCCTAGAATATGCGACTATATCCCATTTGGATTTTATTTAAATCTTGACCTTTTCAAATCCATTCTCCTCATTGCCACAATTTCAAATGTAAACCAGAACATGTCACACAGACAGACGTGAATCCTGCTTAAAACACGCCAGCTTCCTTAGCTCTTACGGTAAACAGCGCCTCCCTCATGTTGCCCTACATAACCTGCATGATTTGGTCCTTGCGTATTTCTCAGCCTCATGCCTCTGGTCTGTTTTCTGGGCCCCTTTCAATAGCCTAAAGCTTCTACGCTTTCACTCCCACACACCTCTGCATTCACTTTTCACATGCTTTCCTCTATTTACCCTCCGTTCTTGGTGCAGTGACACTATACCAAATCCTTTTATTCAAAGTTCCCTTAAGAAGTTTGGCCTCTTCTTAGCACTGACTGACTACACTAATCTTACAATAATTTGTATTGATCAATGTTGATTTTTTCTATCTGTCAAGAAAACTCATAAGGGCAGAAACTTCTTAATTTCATGAGCAAATCAAGATATATCATGAGTATTCAATAAATATTTGTTAAATTATCACTATTTTATGTTTTAATACTCTTAGAACTGATGTTTTTTCCTTTGTTACTCTGGAGTGGAAGTAGAGTTGCTTTTCAATAAACATTTATAATGTTTAAAAATTAAAAAATAATTTATCAAATATTCCTGTTAGGACAAAGCAAGATCATTGGCCTTGTCTAATAAGATCACTAGTGATGTTTGAAAGTATAGTTTTAATATGCTGATAACACAGACTTCAGAACGCTCGCAGTTGAGCAGTTGAGCCCCTGAACAAGGAGAATAGGAAAGAAAGGATACGCACAAACACTGATCAAGGAAGAAGCAACGACCAGGACATGTGGCTGGCTTTCCTTTCTCTATTGTGCATTTCATCACTGATGTTCCCCCAGTCCTGGGAAGACTGAAGTAGGAAAGGAATGAAAATGTGAGAAAGAGAAACAGGGTATAATTGGTCAGATCAGAGAGAACTACAGTTGAAGGGGTAGGAGCAAAAGGATGAGGTAAACAGAGATACCCTACAGGATTGGTCTATTTAAGCAGACCATATAACCAGCTGAAAATAATATTTGAACCTACGCTAGAAAGACTCTAATGAGTTAATAAACCAATTATGCCTAATAAAGGAGAGTGTGTGGAAGACAGCTGGGAGGTACTTACAAGGCAAAGAAGCCACGTTAAACTACACCACTTGGATGTAATTAGCAAAATCCAGATTATGGGAAACTTGATCTAACTAACAGCCTGGTTCTTTCATTAAGCAAACTGCAAGGGGAAAATGGAAAAGGAATTTATAAATTAAAAGAAATTCAAAAGACACACCAACCAATCGTAATGTGTGGGCTTGATTTGATACTGGTTCAAAGATGCAAACTAAAAAAGAGAAAAATTCAAAGGTGTAACTGGAGCTTTGATATTACAAACATTAAATGCTTTACTGTAGTAATAGTGTTGCTGCACTTTAAAAAGTCTTTATACAGATTATACTGCAGTATTTATTTCAGACACCTTTTATTTGCTTCAGAACAATATTATAAGAGGAGGTATGTGGGCTTCAAGACTGGCCATGGATTTACAATCCCCAGAGCCTGGTACTGAGCACACTGGATTCCACTATGTCCTGCTTCTTTTTAATGTTTGAGATTTCCATACTATCGTTCTTGTTGTTATTGTCAAAGGTGAGATTGGGTTTGAGAGCATAAAATATTCTCCCATTTACTATCCATTAGATGGCTGTGGTTCAGTGGATATCAAGCCACGGGGATCAGAGTTAGGCAAATTCAAAAATCAAAACTTAGCATAAAGGATAACAAGAGAGTAATGAGGGAGGAGATAAGGAGTGCCCTGAAGGTCCATCGCACTAGGCGCAAAGTGAGCTCATGTGCTCTTCAGGGCCAAAGAAAAGCTCATGCAGGTGTGAGATGACCAAACCTCAATATGGGAAAAAATGAGTGCTCTAAAGTAACATCGTGGGATTGAAAATACATGGAAGGGACATTTACATCTCCACACCACGCTTCCGCCATTGTCTCCTCTACTCTGTTCACACTATTTTCTTTCTCAGCAAAACTGAAGAGCCTCGGAGGTAGTGTGAAGGCCCGGAGAGAAGCGACTTAGGGGAGAAGAGGTAATATAGTTTGGAGGAAAATTATTTTCTCCTCCCATTGAATTCTGGATTTTACAAATAGTGTGCACCAAATTTGACAACTGGCACCTGCTTGTTTTTTGGCTTTTGCACGCACAGGGTCTACAGGGTCTCACTACACAGATCAGGCTCATAGCGATCCTCCTGTTTTCAGCCTCCCAAGCGCTGGAATTACAAGTGCGCCACCACACCCAGTCTCAATTGCCATCTCAGTGCTCCCCCAGGGGCAGGGGAATCGAACCCCCATCCCTCTGGGTGGCCGGTCCAGAGTCTGCCTAAGCAGGTGCTTTAATCCACTGAACTATCTGGCTGGCCCAGAACCTGCTTATTTAAGGTGGAAAAACAAACAAACAAGCAAACAAACAAACCAACCCAGGCGTTGGGAAACAAACTGGTGGATGTGCACGGCAGTGACTTAGAGTATTGAATTGAGGAACCCCTTCTCTTGCAGATTTCATCCCAGAAATCCCCAAAGCACTGGGCCATGTTAGCAGGTACATATAAAGCATAAAATGTTAATGGCCATATACACAATATTTATACAGAATATTTATTTTTAAATGTCAGGCATTTTATAAACCATATATATATTTTTAATATTTATTTATTTATTTATTTATTTTAAGAACAAGATCATGCAAAGGGGATAATGGAGAGCGCTACGGAGAAAAACAGCAAAGAAAAAAAAGCCGCTGGCGCACAAAGCGTGAGGAGGCAGCTACCCGGCCCAGGGTGGCCGGTCCGGAGTTGGCAAGGGCGGAGACTAAACCCGCCCCGGCGGCCTGACATAAAGTCCATCTTCCCCAAAATCTAGCTTTCTCGCCGTCAACCAAGCGCAGAGGAGAGACCGCTCTGCCCTCTCTAGATCTAACCACCGCCATCCTTAGGACTCCACGAAGCAACAAAACACCAGCACAGATTACGCGCCTCGCGGAGGCGGGCTGGACTCGTTGAACCCCACGCCCTAAATCCCGGGCTTCCTCCCGGGAAGGCAAATATGCACCAATCAAAATGCAGACGTCAAGGACGCTCAGCGCCAGGACCAATGAGAGGGGCGATGGGCGGGGCCTACCCCGGGATTTTAAACCTCTGCGGCCGGCTGGTTAACGGCCGGGAGCGCCGGGGCGGGTGTGCGCCTGCGCGGGGCTGCCGCGCGCACCCGGGCTCGCTCCACGGGCGGCTGCGGGGTCCG